AGGCAATTAATGTTGAGTAAACTCACAGTAATGTGAAAATGGCTATAAACAGTCATGGTATAAACTCTCTTTACTAACATATGTATATATTATCTTATTACATTAGAACAACGTAATTCCATTTGTTCTCTCTGTTAGGCTACTACTATAAAAACTCATATATTCACTTTTTTACTGCCATTACATACTGTTTATGTTCTTAGGTTTGATTGAATTGAAGTGGCAGTATCGTACATAAAACCTCACTTCAAAACAAATAATTGCCGGTTATGTTACCATAGATAAAGCCACTAAAACAAGTCTAAACACCAAAGCGGCCTGCGCATTGATAATGTCGAAAATGACATGTATAAATTCCGAATTCAAATAAAATTTAAATATTGCAAGCAGTCAATACACATGGTTATATCATTAATTTTAAGGAATGATGACTCTGACCGGTCCGTGAGCAGAGGGGTCTCAGATATGTTAAAAAATTTTGTGATGAAAAATGGAAACTAAAATATGAGATAGCTCTCTCCACTTTGTAGAACCATAACTACTATAAAAGTCATTATGAAGGTAGACCAGATTAATTACATGCTTCACTAATTCTTTCTTTTCCTGAAATATACTGACTAGGCGCGCTTTAGTTGAAACAGCTGTTTGGCACGATTCTTGTCTGAATAAAACCCAGTAAGTATTGTAGTCCAGCGGGGTTTTTAAGGTTCAATTCAATTTTGTATTTTTGTGCTAATTTAATTTATTGACTTAATTTTTTTAATTTTTTCACTTATGTATTGTATAATTATCATGAACTATCAATTGTTTGGCCCTATGTTTGTGAAGCCCTATGCTCCCTTGGGAGAAGAGGACTGCAGTAAGTATAAATTGCTGACTGTAAGAACGATTTTTAAGCATAGTTATTTTCCATAGGCAATGTTTAACACAAGCATTGCTTCATATAAGAATAAGATGATTTCAAAATCGTAACTCCAACAGTGGAGTGTGTATCAGAAACTATAAATCGTAGACTATAAACACGATTTCTAAGCATAGTTATTTTCCATAGGATATATTTAACGTAAGCATTGCGTCTGATAAGAATGAAATAAGTTCAAGACACTAACTCCAGTAGTATTATAGTGGAATGTAAAAGGGTGTGACAACATTTTCGTAACCACCCCCGTAACTTAAACGTAATTAAACGAACAAATTCGGATAAATTTTATTAAAAAAGCTATTTGAGTAAATATTTTTATACTCGATAAGCAAAAGTTCGTCGCATTTTGTGTTTAGTGTTACTTCCTGGATATGTTTTCCTTGTGTTCGCTTAGTAGGCGCTGCATATGCAGACGGACGGATTCAGTTTTAGAGTATAAAAGTTAAAAATTATTGCGAAACATTTGCAGCACGGCAACATGCCGAGGACTACCGTTTGTATCTAACGCAGCTTCAGTGCTGAGGCCGGTTGGTTTTGCCTTAAATAGTACGAAATTTATGAGTTGCTCTTAGTTGGTAGTAGCGTAGGCGACAGAGGTGCCTTTTGTAGCTTTATCTTTGTGGCCTCTTTTAGTGCAAATTTATTTTAAGTGTAAGTTATGTTAAGAATTTAAATGATAAACACACAATAAGCTCAGGAGGAGAGAAAGATGCATATGACAAAGCTATCTACCGCTGGGGAATTATTTTATTAGATGCATTCTGACAGTAAATTTGCGCTTAACGTAAGTACCAAATAAAATTTAGAAAAAAATGAAAAAATGCATTTTGAAATGCCGGAAAGAAATTAAAAATAATAGAAAATAATTTGATAGCAACCGCAAAACCACAACTTTTCATATAATTTCAATTAACATTTTTCTGTCCAATTTGGCTTGCATAAATTACAGTTTTTTTAACGCTTTTTTAAGTTTTGTTTTAAGTTTTTTTTTTTTCGTATGACAGCACATCATTTTCATATTAAAAACTAAATTGAAATAGTTTTTTGTGGAAGCTCAATAAAAAGTGTCAAATTGTTGCAGAAATTGTTGCTTTGCTCATTGCCATGGACGAGTTATTATCCGCACGCAGGGAGGAAGAGAATTGCTTTGAAATTGACAGAAAACCACAAAAATTTAATTATTTCAATTGCAGTCTGCACGGTGGTTACCCTTTATTTTTGATATTTTTCGCATTTAAATTGAGTTTTTTAAATTTTTTTTGGATTTTTCAAAAACTATTTCATTTTCTGTTTCAGCAATTTTAGTTCGAATTAAAAATTACAAAGGAAATATAATAAAAAGCAAATTGTTTTGAATGAGCGCAATTTAAATTATTATGTGGTTGCTAAGTGGACTTGGACGCTTGGCTGCATGTGCACAGATGAATGTGGAAACCCTTTTAGCACTTAATTGGCTGTAAATGTTGCTGATGACACTTTTTCACTTGGCCAGCCAATTGCTGCGCTGTGGCAACTGCTGATGTTGCTGATGGCTCTCATGTCGCACTGCTGAATACAAAGGAAATAATCGTAATGGCAGCAAATGTGTTGCAATTTCAATTTGCAAAATAGTCATCACACTTCTTCTTTTTGCCCTCTTCCCTTTCTCTAATATTCTTTTTTTTCTCCAATTTTCTGTAATTTGTTCAGTATTTTTTTTAATGAGAGTTTCGTTTAGATTATCTATAATTTTGAGCTGATGTAAAATTTTATGACCTGAGGACTACTTGCTTTTAGTATTAATTGTGTTAGCACACGAAACTAGTAAAAGAGTCTTTGGGAGGCAACACAGAAAATGGTTACATCCGGTTATTAATATTTGTATATTAAAAACATAGCTATACTCATTAAAAAATATAAAAAAAGTTTCAGAAATAACACCACACATTTTAGTTGTTCTTTCAGGAAGTAATCAGATCGGTCGAAAAATAGCAATTCAAACGAAGTGCAAACGGAATACTGTCAACTTGAGCCCCAAATAAATTCACTTTATCACGACCATTATCATAGCCTATACAGTCTATTTAGCTACCAGCTTATGTTTTAAACTTAAGCAAACCATAATGCTACTTACTAGCTTGAATCTTGAGCTATAAGTTTAGTGTATCATCATTTTCTTTATAACTTCATAGTTCATTTAGAACATAAGCCAGCAAACCATAAGCAATCAGTTTAAGCTTCAAATAGGTTGTATATTACCTTATCTGTATAGCTACACAATCCATTGAGAACGTTTAAATTCTCTGTAATTATAATTATATTATAATTATAATGCAATCAACTTGACCCTTGACCTAAGCTTAAACTTCTTCTAACCAATTAAGAAGGATTCGTTCTGTACTCCATTTCAACTATCTAACTAACTGACCGTTAAATACCATAAGATCAGTGTATCATTATTATCATGAGAATAGATACACAGCCCATTTAGAACATAAGTTTATTCCACAACGTCCTCTCATTTTTTTAGTTTAATACAATTACTTTTCACTTTCTGATATTTCTTTATTCGCGATCTTACTGCACACTGCTAATCCATTTCTTTCAAGGTTTTTCATGTCCTAAATTTACGTTCTAATATTAGTGACGATGTCCTTTAGGCATACGTACAGTAATAAGGTGTTCTATCCATTCCAAGCGTTTTTTTTTATAAGTCGTATAACATGTTATTTTAAATAAAATTAATGTTACAAGTATCTAAAATCACAAATTATATGAACTAAACCACTAAGAAGAAGGACGATGTGAGCAAGACCTGCGTTCGAGAAGAAAGGGTTTCAAGAAGAAAGGGTAATAGATGGATATATTATAATATGAAAAGTTTGTAAGAGTCCCTTTTAAAATGTAGTGGTACAATAATGGTCTCTCACTTTTCAAAATAATTATTGACTGACATGACAGTATTTTACTAATAGGCATACTTACATGTTCAGGTAACCTTTGTGAGACTATTGTGGTAGCTAAAGCATAGACAAGGAAATGGACTGTGTCACTTATTAGTTGGTGTAACTGTTCAGTACTCGTCTGAAAGCGTTTATTTAACTTAAGGTCTCCAACTAGATAAGTCCATTTCGTAATGTAGTAGAATAAATGAAAAAAAAAACAGCATTTGCTTTTGGAACTCGTAGTAGATATTACGATACACGTAGTGTTTCAAAACTATTTTATTCTTTTTCCAACATTTTTGTTCTGAAATGTGTGACAAAACAGTATGATTGATAAGTTTAATCCATTGAGATTAAAGCATGATTGATAAGTATGATTGATATCCATTGAGAAATGTTTTTTTTAAGATATGTAAAAAACATACATGGGTTACATGTGTTACATGGGCAAAGGCAATTTCTGTTTAAGTTTTACTTTTCTGTACTATCATTACACAGATATGGGTCCTTTACAGTTAAGATGCAACTTGAGTTTAACAATTCAAGATTGCAAAACATCAGTGTCTGGTTTTCGCTTTAATGCAACTCTTTCAATACTCTCTTGGGTCAATATAGAAAATTATTGCAAAACATCCGATAAACACAGTGAAGTCCATAATTACTAACACTTTTTAGTCTGTAGCCTGTATCCCAGGTGCTGGTTACTCTGTATAATTTAAATCTGTAAATAAGCCATAAACCATTTTTAATTTTTTTTGTTTTTCTCACTTTTAACTTTCTTAGTTACTATATAAATATATAAACAATAAAATTGTTATTCCACCGATTTTAATAAAAATTTGCCAAATTTTTGTAGTACAAACATTAAGAAAATATAGTCTATATTACCATAGATACAACAGTAGTAGCTTATTATAAACTCTGCTTCATTAGAGAACTGTACTAGAATTCTCAAGCCTTCAATTACTTCAGAATATCGGATTACTGAGAGGATTAAATGAATGGAGAAAAGTTAGTCAAATTACACAGTTTGTTGGGTTCTCTCTCTTTCGATTTTGTTTTGAAAGCAGATTTCATCATGTATCAAAGTTTACTTCACTGTCTCCTAATGCCACTTACGTTTGTTTCGACACAATGACCCCAACTTCATTCGTTTACTACTTTAATAATTCAACGCTACAAATACGTTCTAATAACTAAGAATTAAATTATTAAACAAACAACTTAAGTTTGTAAGGTATAATTTACATTAGATGTCCAAGTTAAAACAGAAATTAGACTTTAGTTCTCACAAGGGCCCCTTTACTACAACTGGCACAACTGAGCTACAAATAGAACAATATTAATTTTGGATTTAAATCAAATATACCATATATATACTTACTTTAAATATATACTTACTAAATATATACTTACTTAAATATATACTTACTTTAAACTTTTGAAAATTTTACGCGATTCAGTAAAAGTCACAAAAATTTAATCACAATCTCTGTAAGTAAAGTTCCATAATTTCTGGAATCGTCATTGTTGCTAGAGTAAAAACTTTGAATAGGTATAATTATACATATAATTATTAAAATTACCTGCATCTCATTAGAAGAAGACTATCTAATATAATCTAATAATCTTTCACTTTTCCACTACGCAAAAAGAATCCAAAAACCTATACAAAATAGCTTGTCTCTGATTAGATGATCCCGCCGTCGTTATTCCAACACTCTTTCCAGTAGCCGGTTAACATCTAAGGAACAAAGTCAAGTATTCATATTGCGAGACCGCCGGTTTTTACAGAAGGCAAGTTTCATGAGCAGAGCACGTGTTCTGGTTACATCAAAACCATATGTCATTATTTTCTTGAATTTCAAATTTCTAGAAAAATATTTATAAATGTCAAAAACATTTCAAAAGAAAAATATTTTGAAAAGAATTTTTTTTTTGAGAAATAGAACAATCCTTAAGTTCTGCATCTCACAACACTCAAACACTCACCAAGAATTCTTAATACCTGTAACTAATTGTCTCCCATATTTGTGATACTTTTTTTATATATATATATGCACATCAACTCACTTTTTCATTTTAATAGCACTGATTATTATATACCATTTAATTAGAAATTTTATATATTTTTCATATTTTTTAACGCTATAGCGTCTCTTCAGTTTAATATACGAAATTAAACTGTGGTCTTAAGTTATATTTTATATATAAGACTTCATTATAAGCACATTGCAAAAATCCAAACGATAAATTTTGAGTAACGTTTGCCAAAAGGAATTTATTTTAACTAAAATACAAAATATTTTGATTTGGTATATAGTTATTCAAAAAATTCGTTAGCTTACTAGATTCCAAAAATATTATATAATAATTTAATTAAGTTAAAGTTATCTTCGCAATGTAAACAGTATACCTCGAATTGAAATTTATACATGACATCATTATTATGTTCATGGGTTGATAATGTTAACTGATCTTCTACATTTGGCATTGTATTAAATACTTTTATCTATCCGAACATTATTACCGGAGAACAGAATTAATTTATTGGTGTAGAATCAGCCAAAAAAATTGGACCGAATATTCTGAATTGGCATCAGTCTGATTGTATAGACATTCATTCTCTTGATAGAAACCTCAAAAAGACTATTTGGATTAAAAATAAATCTTTTTCACTACAAAAGTTGTTGTGTAATTATATTTAAAGTTTTTTATTATTTAATACCTTTGTAATAGTAAATAAACCACAAATAATAAATAAACATATTTATATTAAACTTAATGTATATTATATAAAATTGTCAATACGAGCTAGTTTTCGTTTTTAACTTCAAATGGACTTACTGCTGTTTAATTTTAATTTGAAATATATATGAGTTGTTTCAATAAATTATTAATTTAATCATTTAAAATGAAGAAGAGCATTTGTAACATATGTTAGAGTAAGATTTTGCAAATTGCTATTAAATTATTAAAAATTGACAGTTTTGATGAAAGACGTTTGAGCTACAAATGGCACACAAGTAATGTTAAACATATGCTTTTTTTATTTAAACATATTAAATTAATATTACTTATTTTTAACTTCTAATTTTTATTTATTATATCAACTTTAGCATTAATACAATTTAATGCAATAAAAAAAATTTGAATGAACACGTTTTCTAACAAAGTTTTTACACATTTACAAGGATTTTATTTGCACGAGTACATCGTGTTTTGTATGTTAATGAGTTGTAGTCAGATATGTTAGCAACATTGTTTCAACAAAATGTTTGTTTGATGTTAACAAGTAATTAATAAACAATTTCTGAAAATAACATATAAAAAACGAAAATGTTTTCAAATTTATTTTAGTTTTTTTGAGCTAAAAAAATAAATAATAAAAATGTGTATTTTATACTTTGCCTATTTGAAACGCTTAGTAGTGAAAATTGTTGTTGGCAATTAGTTGCAGTAGATGCAGTAAAGTGTTGGCTGTTGGAAAATGACACCGACCAACTCCACTGCAATTAACATTGCTGGAAAATTGCTGCAACAGTGTTTGATGACACATAAATCAAGTGATCAGCTGGAAAGCTTTGAATTCGTAGTGCTTTAATGATTGATGCGATTGCATTTAGCGGCTATAAACTAAGAAAGTCCCTCGACTTTAGTTTCTTCACAACCGTTTTGTCGTTTTGCTTTCAAATGTTTCTTTTACCTGTACTGGACTTTGGCTTTAATGGACCGATATTTATTTTACTCACGCTCGGCACCTCAAATTATGCTTACAAGTTGTCAGCTGTCAATCTTTTTTGCCATTTCAATTTTTTATCTCGAACTTTTGCTGTCAAATTAAGAATTCAACAATTGCCAAAAATCCTTGTTCCCTCAATAATTTTTAAATTCATGCATATTAATAACAAAAATTTATTAGTGTCAATAAAGTCGACTTCACAACTGAAATAGTTTCTGCAACCAGTTTTTGTTGCTGCTTTTATTTTGTTGATTTTATTAATTTTTATTTTTATAAATTTATTTACAAATTTAAAATTAAATAAAATTTTGTGTTAATGAAAGTTCGCAAGAAAAAAATAAACTGGAAAACCAGCAGGCCGACAACGTTTTATGCTGCTTAATTTATTCCGATATAAAGGCATCCTATTTTTTGCAGGTACCATATATGGACTACGAACTGAGAATGCTACATTGGCACATAATTCCTTTATGCATTCCTGAAACATTAAAAATTATGGACATGCTCGAATTGGGTACGTTCCTTTCTTGCTGGTGGCTTTTGTTGACAATATGTTTGCGTTAGTGAACGCATGTGCGAGGATGTGAGTATATTTTACAATATATAAATAAAATTGAAGATAATTAAAATATTTTTTATTTAATAAGGAATCTGTACAGAAAAAAATCAGACATTTTCAATAATAACCGTGAAATTCATAGAACTATCTCAATTTATCTGTTTTTTCATAATGCCGTGGTTTATATATCTTTAATATATAAATATCGCTGAGGTTTCGTAGTTACTTTGACACATTTTTCAAGGCAGATTTAAAAAAAAAACCCAAC